TCTTCCCAGAACTGGAGAACTCTTGTCTAGAATTATTTTCAATACAAATTTTCCACTAATTCACCTTGTGTCTTGAGTTTGTCCCAGTATCTTATTTACAACTAATGTTTATGCTGTTTTTTTCTTCCTGTGTCAAACAGGGTGTCCTCACTGTAAAAATGCCATTCCACATTTTACAACTGCTGCCGAAGTCTTTAAAGAAGATCGAAAGGTAACTTGCTATTAATTATTTCTGAGATATTTAAGAATGTTTTCCACCATTTGTACTTTATAGGCTTTGCTTATTGATAAGGTGATAGGCTTGTAGATAAAGTTGCTGTTACACTAATAGAAATGTATCTGCATCTTAGGAGTTGTATCTTTTTTGGTCAAACTGAGTTACGCTTTTAACCTATTCTGTTTTCCTTAATTTGTTAACTTTTCTGTTTAATTCTTTCTGTAAGAGTTCTTTTCTATGAAGCAAAACACATTCTTTCTCATTGAAGATTAATAAAAGATAATTTACATCATCTCCATTCCCCTTCAACTTTGGGCAACCATTGGGGTGCATGCGGAGAAACCACAAGTTGTATGACAGTCCTGAAGACCTCAATCATATAACTAATCTTTGCTTGCATAGCATAAATATAATATATTTCTGTAAGTTGGCTGACTTGAGTCCGGGATGTTGGCCCCATCTAGCACCCCTGTGCTTCTGCCTTGAAAATACATCTATGGCTGAAGCACACCAGTTCATTTCCTTGCATCAGCTGAACCATTTTGACTGAGTGCATGCATATCTGGGATTAAAAAAGAACCACCTGAGCCACTCGATTTAACCAGATAACTAGCTATAAACCTCCTTATTATCTTTGAGTGAACTGTATTTCATTCTGATCTCCAAATTTGTTCCAGCTTCCCAATTGCTTTGTGTTTAGGTGTGGCATAGAAAAGATTTGTCAATTTAATAGGGAAATTGCTCTCTACAGCTTCCTGAGGAAGTGAAGTGGAGAGGGAGGTGCTGAGCTCTTCTCCCTGGGATCCAGTGAATGGTTCAAAGGGAACGGATCATGGGAATGGTTCAAAGCTGTGCCAGGGGAGGTTTAGACTGGACATTAGGAAGCATTTCTTTACTGAGAGGGTGGTCAGACACTGGAACAGGCTTCCTAGAGAGGTGATCGGTGCCCCAAGCCTGTCAGTGTTTAAGAGGCATTTGGACGCTGCCCTTAGCAACATGCTTTAACTTTTGGACAGCCCTGAAGTTGTCAGGCGGTTGGACTAGATGATCATTGTAGGTCCCTTCCAACTGAAATAGTCCATTCTATTCTATATTCTAATCTAAATGAAGAGGTAATTTTCTAACAGTTATACCCCTGTTAATCTGCCAGCTACCATAACAGAAGAATTTCTGTCATTTTTTTTTTCTTTTCCTCTCATCTTTTCTGTAACTCAAAGAAGACATATCAGATTGACAAGAAGCAAATCATTCTTGTATCACTGACTGCATAAAATTAGAAGTCCGTCACTTATGCCCTCTGGCACACAGAAGATTTAGAGGCATGCAGCTTTCAGTTCTCTTACTGCTATGAATTTGTGTGTTCAGATGCCTTTTGGTTACTTGTTTGTTTCCAGGATCTCTGAGAAAGTATCCTTGTTTTCCCACTTTTCTGGTAGTTTCCAATGAAGCCTCTTTTTCCTAAACTCATTAAAATTTCAGTCAGAGGAGATGAAGCAAATGTACCAAACAGTGTGAAACTTGCTTATTAGAGCCCCAGGATGTATTAACAAGCCATCTGAATCATGGTGCAGTTTATTGGATGTGGTGGTGGTGGTAAATGTAGGCTTCTGAAGCTTTCCGTTCAGACTGCAGGTTATGAAAGGACTCCAAGAGCAGAGCAGTGATTGACAGTTGCAACTCTTGACTTCAGTTTAAGGCTGAAGTGGGGAGGTATAAAATGTAATGAGTTGGAACAGGAGAGCCAGTAGGGAATATTAAGGCTGGTACAGTTTCAAAGAGGTGTGTGCAGTTAGGGAAAATGATGTTATTCCACCCCGATGACTTAGGAAAGTGCCAGGGATTGATTATCTGGGGAGCCCTGTTTAATTGTGTACAGCCATAACCTGCCAAGGTACTTCTTGCTGCCAGTTTGTGCCCTTGTGGAAAAGAAAACAAACCTGTTTAAGACTTCAGAAGGGCACATGGCTGTTCCCACAATCAACACTGGGCATAGTCCCATGTTTCAACCAGGGCTGAGCCTTCAAACTAATTCGTAGTTCTGTAGGCTTTCAGACTGCATGAAAATTACTGCGTAAGAGAGAAGAATTATTTCTTCTTTCAAAAACAGGGAAAGGTTACTAATTTTAATTTTTAGTCTGTAGTAGTGTCGTCTTTTTTTTTTTTTTTCCCCACTGGAGAAAGTTTTTTTTCACTTTAACAGATATGATAGCATTTAAACTGTATCTTCTTTTCAGTAGGGGTGGTCCTTTAATTAAACATTGAATTCTTTAGAAGCCAAAGAACAATCAAAAACATTCCAGCCTTGAACTGGTTATAAATGGTATCTTAAAAAGTATTCTCTGGGAGACCTTGAGTCTTTACATTGGAATTTCGAAGATGAGCAGAGCTTGAAGCTGTTAAATACATGTCTTTGGCTCTGCAGATGCACTTTAAGGGGGTGGTTTTGGCGCATAAGCCCCCCTCTCCCGGGGCTGTTTGTAATGCTGTGTACTTTTTCATCATCTGCACTGCTGGAGTTGGAGTTTAAAAATGCAGTGCTCAGAACATTGGCCCCAAATGTCAGTTCTTGTTGGCCACATCACTGCTGGTGGTTTTAGCAGAAATTCCAAGCCTGCTCGCTTGCCTAAGGCAGTCGTGTGGCTATTGCAAAATGGGGCTCTGGGTGTAACCCATAAACCAGAGCCTCTGCATCTTTCCATATACCTGGAGAAATTCAGTGCCAGTAAGACCAGATCAGTGGAGAGCTAGTCCAGTGAAGCAGTTAGCATATTGCTTTCAGTTATTTAAGAAGAAAGAAAAAAAAAAAAAAAAAAGAAAAAGGGGGAAAAAAAAAAAAGCTGTCTGGAACATTCTTGCCTTGGGGCACTGTGGTCTTTGCATACAGCTGCCAGGGGAAAGCCTTTGGCCTGTGCTCCACAGCTTGAGTTTTGGCAATGACCAGTGTATGTCAGAAAATGCAAATGTGAGGATTGTCACTTTGCTGAACAGATTGAACGGAGCAGGAAGGCATGTTCACTAACTACTCCAGAGACTCTTGAAAGGGCAGCAGCTAAATCTTCAAAAAATTTGTATTCTGCCTTTTGGCTGATCCTAAAGTTGAGCTTGAAGGAACAGATTTGTGATGGTCCAGCTTGGATTTGCTGAAGGAAAGCTCTTGACTCCTCAAGCCCTCTCAGTAACAAATCTCTGGAACTGCCCCAAAGGGGCTGCTGTTTGACCAATCTTCTCCATTTTCACAGAAGACTGGTCCTGTACAAATGCACTGACCTAAATCAGAGCAGTGCAACTGGGTTCTAGTGAGTTTGTACAGAAACAGCTGTGGCAGAGATTGCTGGAAAGGGTGCAGCTGATGGGGTGAGTTGAGGTGCTAGCGTGGGGGCTGCAAGACAGTAGTGAAACCAGTGAGTCCCCACTGTGTATTGTGAACCATGGTTTGAACCAGGGTTTAAAATCATTATACCAACCAAATCACTGTACAGAGTTAGCCAAATGAGTTAATGTTTTAGTTTGGCCAAGAATTTGATCCCTATTTGCTTAAAAAGCATGAGTTGAATTTCTTTTTAATTAGACTCATTAAATATAGTGATGTTAGCACTGTACATCATGGTGCCTACTAATGGATCTTCCCTTTGCAAATAGGCCCGCTTTGAGAACAGCTGATGAATTGCAGCTATGGTAATGCTGCTATGGCACATCAGGGCAGCCAATAATGAATCTTCCATTTGCAAGGCCTTTCACATTGAGAACTGTAGCTGAATTGCAACAAGCTTTAGCAGGCCAGCTCGTAACTGCCATTAGGATCCAGAACAGGTAATATAAATAGAAACCTATGGAGTAATCATAGAGAAGAATGCACATCTGTCTTATTCATAGGTGCTTTTAAGACATTTGGCAACAACAGACTTTTTTTTTCCCTAACAATCAGGTAATTGTTGTCTGGAATTGACTATACTTTAAAAATGTTGCTTGGAAGCATTCTTTTCCATGCTGCAATTTTACTTTTATTTTAATTTTTTTTAAGCTTGTCATATATCATTCCTCTCTCAAATCATTATTCAGTTAGTTATTCACTTCCATTTTCATAACAAAAGTCAATATTAGCTCCAGCAGAGATTTATTTCCTTGAATCAATAAACCAGTGTGTGACAGTACATATTTTAACAGGAGAGCAACTAGGATTGCGGGGGGGTTATTTTTACTATATCATCATATAGTGACTGGGAGACAAACTGTTAAAATGAACGAGATTTAAGAATAGAAAGGAGGAGTTATCTGGCAGGTCAAAGGATCCCACTTTGAATTTTCCACACATGTATTTGAACCACTGGATGTAATTGTGTTCCTTACCTGCAAGATTCCTCTAGAGCAAAAAGTTTTTTCATAGTTCTGTTGGAAGGGAACTGTGATTCCTGATGTATGATTATTAAATGATACTGCAAGTTCTTCTTTTTCCTTCTAACACTTAACGCAGTAAAAAAATAAGGCATCATCCTTCTGTTACAGTTGAGGCACACAGAGATCAATGGTCACATTTTCAGCATATCTCCACTTCTATTTAAGCACCTAAATGAAAAGTTCTGATTTTTGCAGCAGCTCGGCGTTGATGATCAGACCACTTCATCTGAACAATATGCCATGCTCTATTTCCTTTTTTAAGAGCTCTTCAGAGCTGGTCATACGTTGCTCACATTCTAATGCTGTGCAGAGTTAAGTTTACAACTCTGTAGTTAAGCTCCCACTTCTTTGGTAAAACCATGAAACGTTGCTGTGGGACTTCCCTGATCAGGTAGATATTTTCCAGTCCCAGATTTTGCTAGAGTCTTGTTAAACTATACTGACTATGGAATAAAGGAGAAATGCATAGTAATCTGGTATTTTTTAAAATTTTTTATTATTATTATGCATAATTATTATGCATCATTATGCATACTAACCTGATGTTATTAATTATTACAAGCTGGATACCAGTTGTGAGGAGGTACCAATGAAAGCTGGATGTACTCCAGTTAACTTCCTCTGGGGTCCACAGTCTCTGATTGATTATCTTTTCATTTGATAACTATTTTATTTCTGCGACAGCTACTGAACAGGATGGTGATAAATCTGAACAGCATTGCCTCTGGAGAGAGAACTTGTATATAATGATGCATTGTCAATATCTAAGGCAGAGCAGCTTTGGGTTATGGAGAATCCGTAACCCCGTGGAGTTTTGTGCATGTTGCAGGTATAGCACTTAGGGTTTTTTCTTCCTGAAATGTTTTTTCAGTGGATTTTCCCCTCTGGTTAGAGGAAAGTTTGGAAAGCTCAAGAAACTAAATTTTAGCTCTAACAATCAAAATCTCCATAAAATCAGTCTTGTCTTCTGAAAACTGTTACACTGGGTTTTTCCATAACGGCCATATATATCTCTCTATATATGTACATACACACACACATAAGTCTTACACCGGCATTAGGACAGTTTCTTGCTCTTACAGATTTTTAGAGGTATTTTTCCCTCTTGATGAGAGGGAATTCATGAGAGGTGATGCCAAGTGTCTTGGCTCCTGGATACATATCAGAGGTGTCTTATGCTTAATCTGTCTGCACTTTCTGGTTGAATAAAGTTAGTGTTTTTACAAGGCAAAGCATATAAGTCTTGCTAACCTATGCTTTCCAGTGAACTTCCATGTAACTTGTTGCTGGTAGTTGAATATGAAGATCATTTCTGAGAGCAATATTCTCCAGAAGTCTTTAACCATATTTTGATGGAGGTTTTTTCGGTTGTTACTTTTCCTGACTCAGTTTCCTCCTTTAGCGATGCAGAAAAACTGATCATTGCTAAGAAGATTGAGAATGAGAGGAAAACCTCCCTGCAAGGTATCACTGCTCACTTGAGCCAGGACTCAAGCAAAGCCTTTCTTTTTGGGGGCTGCATCTTTTTATGTGCAGCCTTTCAGTATAGTCATGAAGTAATTCACCCTAACTGAAAACTGCTGTAGGACACTGCTCTACCAAAAATGGAGTTTAATATTCATTGTCCATGAAAACACAAAGAGAAGGAAGCGAAGGACATCGGTGCTGTTTGCTGAAATTCTGGTATGTCTCGGAGTTCAGCTGTCTGAAGTGGATACAATTGAGATTGGAACTGGTCCTCTGTCCAGAAGTGAGTTTTGCTACAAGTGTTTTTCAGCATTACTTTCCTCTTCTTGCAGTGCACTATATTTGATCATCCGCTGTGAGACAGGCAAGACAATTAGGACTGTGATGCTATGGTAATGAGTGACTAGAGATGGTAGCAACCTCTATATTTAGGCTGCCTTAACATTTCCACTCTAAAGTAATCACTCAAGCTCTCCTAAGTACTCTTACTCAGCTGCTGTTGGCAGCAGGCATTTGAAATGCAGCCTCGCATACAATCTTGGGAATTAGATGTCTCTCTGAAATTTTGCTCAGGTCTATATGAGTTACAAGGCTTTTGAAAATTGCCGTTTCTCCTCTCTCACTGGCTGTAAAAATAACGGAACGGGAATGTTTGTTCTGAAGAACTGGGCTCAAAATGACGTTTGCAGGAGCAGCGGTGAGTCCGTGGGGCTGTGTGGGAGCTTGCATCAGGAGCATTTCAGAGAATAACAGACCATGGACATGTCCTCCAAATGCTGCTCCAGGTGTACATGTCCCTTGCCATTAGACCTGTTAGATTAGGCATAGCATTAGGCTAATGTGACTGTTGCAGCCAGACTTAGACTGAGATCTTTGTGCATTACTTCAGTGCTCAACAAATGCGCAGATGGACCAGCTTAGATTTCCACGTGCTTTAGAGGAGAGCTGTATCTCAAGCAGACTACTAAGCATTTCTTTCAGAAGCCACCTCCTTATAGTCCATCAGTCATCTGTTTTGAGGCAACAAGTAAAGATGTGCTGAGCGAGGTTAACAGTGGCTTACAGCATGGCGTTCCTCCACTGCACCCTCTCCTCACAAGGGGCTATTCTCACAAAAGCCTTCTGTAAATGAAGTTGGGCTCTTTGCTCCCACCAAAGGCAGTCTAGATGTTTCCAGAGAGGTACAGATAAAGAGGGCTTGTCTTCCTTCCAATGTACTAAAAAATACTTTTCTTAATCTCCAAGACACTAAGAACAGATGGGTCATCAGTCACAGCAGTTTCATGCCTCAGACCAGCTACTAAGATTTGGATGAGTGCACATATACCTTCCCCCTTTTCTGGCTGTAATCTTTCCCTGTGAGATATTTAGAGCAGTGAGAAAAAAACTGTTTTATTTATTCTTTCTGCTTTCAGGGAACCAGGACTTCCAGTATTCTTTCTAATTAATACTGTGACATGAAATACGTAATTGTCTCCATTGTAAGCTTTCCTTTACACAGAAGTAGCTGTCAGGGCTCTAAATTTCGGCCAGCTGCTAAGGTCAGGAAGGCATAAATACTTAGATGAAACTCTTTTGCGGTGTATTATTCCTAACCTTTAATTTTAACTGGCCCTGAATGAGTAGGAGTCTTTCTGTTTACAAAAAGAAAAAAAAAAAGTGTGATCATATGTGTTTTTAACAGCTCTCAAGAGTCTTGTTTCTGTAATAGCCTTATTAATGTTTAAAATGGGAAAACAGAAACCAAATATTTAAGGTAAGAACACTGCTCACTTTATGTAGGGCTTTCCATCGGAAGATAGACCTAAGCAAGATCTTACCCAGTATTGTCTTGTCAGGCTTTCAAAGCCAAAACAAAACATGCAAATTGACTGAAGTTGGCTTTGCCAATCTCTTTAATTACTGCTAGGATAATGAGATCAGGTTTTCTCATTTTGACAGTGTCACCATGAAACTGGAGGGCATTATGGAATATTAAGTGATCTTTTAATTATGGAAGAACAGTTCAACTGCAACCCTAAAGTCATGCAAGCAAAAGGTATTTTATCAGATTGTTCGAAGGAGGCTCATGGAACGGAAATTTCAAGTTAAGATGTGTCTGCTATGAAATTAGCATTTGATACATTGTAACCCACAATTGCAAAAATTGTTCCTCTAATTTGTTTGGGGTTTTACATAGTTTGTACTTGAACCTGCTTGTTCTTCAGCAGAGCCATGTGAGGGGGCTGTGAAGGCAAGCCTGGGTGAGCAGCAGGGTATGTCCAGAGTTGGAACTGCCCCTCGCGGGAACAGTCAGTGTGAAATCACAGCAGAGGGCTCCGCTGCTTTAAGTAGAGCCTATGAATTGCATTTTGTTTATACATCAGAAATGTTAAGTGCAGCCCCTCCTCAATATTTCATAGATTCAGGTTTCAAATGTCAAATGCTCTAAACTAGGGTTAGCCTGAGGTGATGCTCTAGAGCTGTAAGGTTGCACTTCCTCGCTCTGCCTGTGCTGAAGCGGGCAGGGATGGAGGGTGTTGCTCTGCTGCCAACGGGCTGAGAGCACGGCAGGCTGTTTCCTACTCAGGATTTGTTTGTCTGACAGTAGCATCTAGAGGTTTCCAAAGGAATTAATGCCCATTTTGCTAATAGCTGCACATAACATACAGTCCCTACCTTAAAGGATAGACTGAAAAAAGATAGGAAAGGAAACATAAACCCAGGCTGAGATTGCAAGCAAGCAACCTTCTTCTCTAGGTGTGTTAGTTGCTGGACAATGCTGTGGTCTCTCATCCATCCTGTTTGTCCTTGGGAGAACTGAATGGAGTTTACAAAAGCTATTTGGGGTCAAAATCATTGATAAGTGGCCAGCCATGCTTGTCCAAGAACAGAAGAGGTAACTTTTCTGAGCGTTAGCCATGCCATGGGAAGGAGGTTGGGTTAGGTGGGTCGTTCCCATTATCAAAGTCACCCTGTCACTGTTCATCACTTAAAATCAACGCGTGGGGAAAATGTGGCAGTGTGATAGAGCTGTGACCGCTGTGCTTGGATTTTGTTTTGCTAACACAGCCTCTGGATTTCCTGTTTGGAGTCTAATGCAGTGCTCAACAGGTAGGCTTGGAAGGTGATTTTCTGCTCCAAGTTGAACACACCTTGCAGCTGCGTAGGCCAGGTGCTGTGCGAGCAGCACAGCATTGCACTGGGAGGGAGCAGGCTTCTGCTCTTCCCTTTGCATGGCTTGACCTGATGACCACCCTCTGGTCTTCCTCCACAGCTGAGCCGTTACAAAAGCCATTGCATTTTTGGCAGAAGACTTGGGTCTCTCCTAGTGTTCAGTCTAAACTGCAGCAGCATAACCATGAAGTAGAGTCTTGCTTTGTCTTCTCCTGCCTCATGCTGATCTCTTGCGTTTCAGATTGCCTACGCTGCAGTGGACTGTGCCAAAGGACAGAATCACGACCTGTGTAAGCAGGAGGGTGTTGATGGCTACCCCACCTTCAATTATTACAACTATGGGAAATTTGTGGAAAAATATACTGGAGAAAGAGGGGTAAGTGAAAGCAAGAGTCATCACCTGATACAGGGTGGAAGGTCTCCTCTGCCTATACTGCCTTGCAAATGAAATCTGTGGAGTAAATTTTTACCATGCTGGAAGGATGTTTAACCACTTCTGTTACTGTCTTACATGGATGAATCATTGTCCGCCACACCTCTATACATCTCTGCATTAGGAACATACTTGGTCTATTTTAGGAACATGAGAAGAGGCAAAAGGAGTAGCTTTGGTAATGCTTTGTTGTATATTTTATTCGTTAAACTGAAGACTGCAAGTGAATTTGGACTGAGTGAAAGTTAAGGCTTTATTGCATGGGCTGCTGCTAGGTGCAGAAATGCCAAAAAATACAGAACTTACTCCTGTCAGTTCTGGATATGAATCACACATATACCTCAAACATGTTAAGAGTCCACCAGGCTGCCAAATGGTGACAGACCATTGGTTTTATAGCAGGGACAAAGCTGTCCTTTGGAGACTGGGAGAAACTAAATATCTCATTCACCCTGAATCAGATTCACTCCTGGAGCTCAGGATGGAAAGACAAATTGTGCCATCTAGCTCGTGGGCTGAAGCTTCATTCTTTTTTCTGCTGTAGCCAGCTAATTATATGCTATGAGTACAAGGGACAGAAATGGCATAATGCCTTCTGTGGTAGTAAAGTGCCTGAAAATAAGGGAGCAATCCAATTATTTGTGTGCGTTCTTTGTCATAACCTCCTAGAGGGAGGTTACACCTCAGCAGTGATTGATTGCCTGGAGAAGCTGGGGTCTGCAAGAAAAACTTGGAATCTTCAAGCTATCCAGTGATTTTGATAAAAGAGCCTTGCCTGAAAGTTATTGTCGCTATTACAGCCACCAAATTATAGAGAAGCATGAAATAAAAAGCCAGATTCTGAGGTTCTTTGTCAGTCAGGATCTTAGGGAAGCCTTCATGGAGCTTCATCTCCCAGTTTTCTCCAGCATTAGGACCCCAGTAATTACCATTTTATGGTGCTGATCCGGGCATTGTTATGGATCCTGTGTTTAGTTCCGATTGTGGATCTTTTCTTAAAAATAAAGATGGGTGCAGTAGCCAACAATTAAGTAAAATTTTTGTATTTCTAACCCATACTTACAGAAATGATGTATGAAAGGAAGGATCTGTGGTGGCTGATAAAAAGAATTTAGCAAGACCGGAGTGCTGTGAGGCCACAGCAGTTGGGAGATGATTATCCCTATGCTGGAAAGTGGACTGACTAATCCCCTTCATGCAGCCAACCCTTTCTTGGGTAGAATTAAATTACCCAACAGGAACATCACAATCTCTCTGCTGCTGGCAACTGTGTTCGCCCTCCACCTCTCCTGGGACCTATGGTCTTCTGCTTGTGCAGCATCAAATTAGGTTTTGTTATCTCCTATCTTGGTAATGCTGGAGGCAGTGCTTAGCACAGTGCCTTCCATGAAGTTTCCAGGTCTGTTCACAAACCTGTTTTTGTAAGTAAGAGATTGCACTGTTAAAGGACTTCTCATCAGCATGACAATACCTTTTGAGCCATCTCGGCCAACCACCTCCTACTTCGCAAAAGACATCTCAGGAGAGAGCAGGGGGAGCCAGGGAACCTGCTTTCCATTCCTGATTCTGGCACTAAACCAGTAGATGTCCATAAGCATTTAGTTCAGTGTGGTCCAGCTGGTGTATCATCATTTCACGTGGGCAGGGAAGAAGAGAGGTGATATCAGCTGCCATGGGAGCGACATGACATGCTACAGCAGGAGCCATGGCCAGTACTAGAGCAGGAGCTCTCAGCTCCTTGCCACCCCACGCTGAGGTGCTGGCTATGGGGAACAGCACTATCCCCAGCGGTAGCCTGTAAGGATCCTCCACACTGCCAAGGGAATTGCAGTTCCAGAATAGAGATTTTAGGGCATTTCACCCCAAGCAACTCCAGCAAGGAAGAGTCAGGACACCCTCTAACCCAAGTGTACCTTAAATGACTGCCAGCCTCACAGCTTTGAAAACTGGGGTCCTGTCATGGGGGCTGTTGATTGCCAGATGTCCCGAGATGACGTACGACCAAAACTTGTCACTTCATTTTTTTTCAGTGGAAGAATAGTGAATAGTTTTGGTAGAGTGTTTTGTTTTCCAGCCTTCTCAAAACCCTCCCAGCTTTTGTTTTATTTTCTTTTCTTTGTTTTGTTGTTCCCCAACATTGTTTTAAGTCAAACTCTGACTTCTGTTTGTTGTTCTCTACCTCTTTGTATTTTCCCTCTTTATCAGCAGTTTTGACTGGTGTGTTTTGGGATTCTTAAAAGTAAAAATAGTCACATTGGGTGGGATCGGTATTACCTGCTGAGACAGCTATAGTGTTGGTGTACCACTAGTCAGCGTGTTCAAATACAGGTGTTCACACCTCCACCTATCTGAGCCTTTTGAAACGCCTGTGAGTTGTGTTCAGAGCTTTCATTGGAAAAGGAAACTGCTGGCATCCAACAGCCTTAGATAATCAGAAATTCTAAGTTCCTGAAATACAGAGGTTCGCATCTAGACATCTGGGTTTGAAGTTGTTTTACAATAATTTTCGTAGTAACTTGAAAAAAATGTAATTCCCATCAACTGAATGTGTGGAAAAGGAGGAAGATCATAAGCAAAACTGTTAAGGGATGAGGAACAGTGGCAAACGTGTGTATAGCCAACAAATGATCCACTAACTGCTTTCAAAATGAGACATGTAGCATACAGATGTGGCTTGAAAATGTCTTTGAGTGTTTTTGACAAAAAGGCATCAATGGCACTTCTAGGGACAGTTTTTACCTTGTCCTGTGATTCTTAAGGCTTTTTTCTCTGTGTCCCATCTTTTCAAAGTTTGACATGGGGAATCTACATGGATATTTTCCACTTGCATTGCAGCAGAGCAGCACTGGACCAGAGCACTGCATGATGAGGCAACGCAGAAGCAGTAACCACTCCCTAGTTTATATTCTGCCATGGGATACAGAAACTGAAAGTGTTCTTGACACATTGTTTTGGTTTGTTTGTAAAAATATGACCTATATTTTTCTTTCTTCAAAACCAGGAGTCTGGCTTCACCACTTTCATGCGAACCCTGAGAGAAAGAGACCATGAAAGAGTAGGAAAGAAGAAGGATGAATTGTAGTTTCTGCCTCAAAAGAAGCTTTCCACTGCACTGTGAACGGTTCCAGGTCTTTTGTTAATGCACCTGAGACTTCACGTATTCTCAAGACAGAGACTTTTTTTTATAAACAGCCATGGCCATTTTGTACAATTTTGAAATAAAGTGAAACCACTTGATTTTTAAAAGGAAAATAAATTAGAATGTTGCCATAATATTTTAAAGAAAACTTAGCATTTTCTCTCATGTTGTGAGACTATGCCCACTGACACTCCTATGCAATATTTTTGTAGTCTGTAGCGTGTCTGTAGGTGATGTTGTTTGATAGGGTGAATTTTTTTTAAAGGTATTGTAGCACATGTGAAAAAACAAAGGGGAGGGAACAGTGTTTTTGTTTGGTTTGGGGTTTTTTTGTTTGGTTTTTTGTTTAAAACCAGTGAAGGAAAATGGGACTTGTAAGACAGATTTATCCAAATGCAGTTTTACATTCTTGTGAAATAGTTACGTGTTCTTCAGTGAGATTTGGAGGAACAATTTTAAGGTGCTCAGGGATAAATGAGGTATCTGAGTTAATGAAGACATTAACATTGACCAGTCCAGATCTGTTGATTTCATTTCAATCTTTCTAGTCTTTAAATCAGGACTGTTTACATACCTTTATAGAATGTATTGAGTGAATTAAGCCAAGTATCAAAAAATTAGCAGGGCATGGGTAAAATTAAACTAAACCCTCCTTTTTTGGCATCAGTATTGTCACATGCATCTGTAAGTCATGGCAGGACTGATTTTCTTATAGGAGTATACAGTTACCCTTATAGGTATACAGTCTCCCTTTAAATTATAATTGGGCCATATCAAATATGTGTTGGAAAGTGTTATGTTCAACTGTTTTGATAAATGCATAATACTTCTGATAATGCAGTAATTATGTGTATTACGTGTTTACATTCCAAAAGTTTTATCTGCATTTGCATGTGGGATTTTTCCTTTTTGCTCTTTAAGGAGTTGCATAAACAATCTCTTAAAACCTGTATTAGCAGCAGTTGAAACGTGTTACACCCTTGATGCTTGAAAAAAAAGACGTTGATCTGGAGGTACTTATGTCTTCACAGGAGGGGAGAGGGAGGGGCAGGAAGTTGTGATTCACTTTGAACTAAAAATAAATTTAAAAAAAGACAAGTATTTTTATCATTAATCGGCCTTGTTCAGCTTCTTCCCCGCTGGGTAAATGGCCGTAGCTGGTGGTGGTTTAGGAAGAGCCAGCACACCCTGGACGGGTGCCCACTGCCCCTTTGCTGGGGACAGCCCGGTGTGCAGGGGTGCTGGGCAGTACGGCGGGGTGTTCGGCCGTGCGAGGGTCAGCCTCCATCTGCCTTGACACTGAACAGGTGGACCAAACAGCTTTTTACAGCGAAGAATTGTGCCTTGGGTGTGAAATCTTCCTCTTGCTCCTCAGTCTGCCTGTCTCTCTTTCTTTTGCTAGTTTGGATCCTTGGTGAAGGCCATGCTAATGGACAGCTCGGTGCTGTGCTGCTCAGGAGGTGAATGGCATCTTTCCTCCTTCCTGCATATTTTTTCATCCTCTCTCTCTCTCCCAATTAATGGCACTGTATGTTTGACACTTGTTAAGCTGGTGAAGCCATTAGTGAGTAATCTGGAATACTGGTAGCCTGATTGGCCTTGTATGGTAGCCAGCTTGTTAACCATGACATCAATTTGAACAGCGATGGAGCTGTTCTTCTCTTATTAGGCACCTGATGAGTCTCCTCACTCAAAAATCAGCTGCCTGGTAGTACATAATATCCTAGTGTGAAAGTAGCTTAATTTATTAAGCTGTAGGCTTTTTTCTTTTCTGTTAGCATAGTTACTTCATGTTGTGTTTAGTACTTTTGCATAAGATCATGGTAATTCTTTCCAGCTATTCTTGCATTAGTAGCAAGCATTCTGCCCTGCATTTAGGGCCTATTGATGCCATTTGATTTCAAACAGGAATTCTTTTACTTACCAGCAAACTATCAAGTATGATCAGTCCAGAACTTACTGCTTTTTTTTTTTATCTCAGAGTCAAAGCAGCTGGCAGTAAAGAAATACAGTCTCTAGAAATGCTTGAGCATTTCTGTGCATAGGCTGTGCCTATGTTTGTGCTAATTGCTGAGAAATGTAGACTTCTTCAAAAAAAGAAAAAAAAATCATAGCTTGCCAATGGTGACATCACTAGTCAGGATCATTCTGAATTATAGGCTTTAGTAAATGTTTAGGATAGGACAATTGCATACTGTGCTTCAGACCAGTAATTCCTTACAGCTGGTTACACCATAATAAAATTAAAATTAAGGATTCTCATTTTTCCCTTCAGTCTTTTGTCAGTTACTTCTTGGACTTGGGCATTCATTTTTTCTTGGCTAATCATGTGTTAATGCACAAATATAAAATATTTGAGAATAATTTACCTTCTGTTACAGGGTCATGACTCATCTGGTTTATAGTCTGAATGGGTTTTGAAAAATACAGTTTTGAACACCATAAACGATTACATCAAATGGCTGACAAAAGCCTTAGTTACTGTGAACTAGAGTGTACCATGAGCTTGGAGCTTTGCTTCCAAGCCTTTTTAATTAGTAGACCAGGTCTGGATCTCAGTTACACTGTTGTAATTCTGTTGCCTCCAGTAAAGCAGAAGTTGGTGTTTGTATTTGCTAGTGAAGTCAGTTTATGTTTATATTTGCATCAGTCAAGTTGAAATTGAAATACTTACTTTTCATTCACAGTCTGTAGAAAAAAATAATCTTATATGTAAGAGCTCTTATTTTGTGTAATTAAATGATTGGTCATTTCACACATTCAGACTTCCCAGGCCATCACAGTAGATGCATAGTCCAGGCGTTATTAACCATGTAGGAATTTCTGCCATGGTTAAAAGTGAGTAATATGGGCTTTCAAATCATGAATCATTTATCAGCAAGAAACTTAATTGCTGATAACAAATGGTTTGCAGTGAATCAGAGATTCTGCTCTTGCAATTACGGATTTGGTCTTTCAGCCCTTTTAAGGTGTGATTCAAAGGTCTTGGACATCTGCTATGCAGTTAACCCTAAAGCAGACTAAATCTCATTGAGGAAAGGTAAAACGTGTACACAGAGGAGAGGCTGAGCAAGGATTGTTCCTCAGCATTGGTTTAAGCAAGATATAAATAGCTCACGGGTCTATGTTGGTCCTGTTCTGTAGTTGGACCAAGAGACAAAGGGTGGCAGGACGAAGTGTTTTGTGCAGACTAGTATTAGCTGGATAGGAAATGGTTTTTCCATCCAACGAAAAGAGCCTGAGATGTTGGATTTGTTTCACCCAGCAAAAGGAGGGAAAAGGGAGCCGAGATGGGATCCCAGGAGAGTGAATATGGGATATGGGAGACCCAGGTTGGAGTCCCAAGATGAGCATAAGCTTATATCCCAGTCCCTTGCAACCCAAGAGGGTAATGTGGCTTCTGTTGTAAAGGAGTTATCCATCTATCTCTGACCCAATAACTACGTCCCTATTTGTTCAAACTAGAGCAGCTCCTACAGGAGAGACTGGAAGAGACTTGCTTTCCAATCTGGATCATGAAAAGCAACCTAGCAAATCTCCATTTTCTCCCCCCCCCCAATAAAATTGCATTCTGGATCTGATAGTCCCATTGAGCCCCAAGCCCCTCCTAACTAGTTGCAGTTGGGTGAAACAGCCTTGGGAATTTTTCTAAACTCCCACACAGACCAAATTAGGTCCCCAAATCTTGCTGACTTAAAATTCTCTCAGTAGTCATCCACAAAGATGGATTGATATTAATGGTGCAAAAAGATTAGAGGGGTAAGATTTATCTTCTTGCAGTGTTTAATTTGGGAGTAGAAAAGCAGATGCAACTCCCATCATGAGTAAGCTCTAAAAGAATGCTTCAGTCAGAGTCTCATTTCAGATGGAATTGCTTCATGGGTGATTTTGATTTTAGAGGCTAACTGCTTTTCAAAAGAGAAGTCAAGACCTGGCAACTTAGCCTACAGGTGTTTTCTTAGTCTGTTTTCCTTTTAAAAAAATAAAAAGCAAAATCGCTGTCCATATTTTTGATAGTGCTATATTATGAGAAAGAAATGTTGCCTATATGGGTTTTCTAGAATAATACTAAACCCCTGCCAACTGCATTTTACAAACTATGAAACAAGCCATTTGCTCAAAACTATACTCAGGGGTATGGGGACTGTTGTCCATGTGCACGTCATTTTAATTTAATAGGCTTACTTTAGTGTGATTGGGTCTGTAATGGTACAGTGGGATTGCAGGAGTAAATGCTGAGAACTGGGGCAGGAGGAGGGGGAAATTAGCTTTTATCAGCAGGTGCTGAGTGTTGGGTCCAAACGCTGGCATTTCCTTTGCCTTTGGCAGCCCAGCATCCCTGAGCGTTCCAGGGCTCCGCTGGAACCACGGGTGTGCAGCCCTTTGGCTAATCCGGTTGTGTACATAACTGCTCTGTGCTGGAACTGATTGGAAACCAAAATTTCTCCTGTTTTCTTTGGCTGGTCATGAGAAGATGCTATGTTATCTCTGTGCATCCTGCTTTTATTTACCAATTAAGGAGGGGCAGGGTACCTGGGTGTTTCTACAAAGGAAATTACTCCAAATGCTGTCTTATCTGCTGGCAACCAGGACTCCTGGAACGCCTGACTGACCAGCACCGCTGAAATACTCCCTGCGATGCACCCTTGACTGGCTTGGCTTTTGCCAAGTTTGTGGCAGGCACTGTATGATGCAATGTTGCAAAAAATCTCAGTATCTAAGGCAGCGATTTCCAGGCTGCAGTTTCCAAGGAGTTAAGCTGAACTCTGTGTATTCATCAGCCTGGTGTAGCTGGTTTTGAGGTCAGAAAAAAGATGGTCTGTTAGCCCAAAATTTAGGGAATCACAGCTCCAATGCTGGCCCATAATTAAAGCCAGGAGGATGTCCAGTTATTTCCAGCCAGCTGCCAGACCTGGTCCCGGTTTGTAAGATTCCTGCCCCTGGAAATCCTCTGTCTCCTGCCCACAGCACTCACCACTCTTGCAGGACACAGGGCTCGTTAAGGAACAGTTATTCTGTGTTTGCTTAGAAAGCACCATAGTGCTAATTATTCTCATTAGCTTTGAGCCACTAATAAATTATCTTTCCTATTGCTCTTCCATCACTCACTAATGAGAACCATT